GAGCTTGTGGACTAGATCAAAAACTCTGTAATGGCGTTTGGGTTTCTCGATGCGATTTTACAGAGTCAAACAAAAGCTGACTCTGACCTTGTGAAACAAAATTTATTCTCTCGATTACATGCCACGTGGAGGTGGGTCAGCTCCACGTCTTATGAACATAATGGTTAAAAAAATTGCGACTTTGCATTGACCTCCAAACTGAATTTTTTCTTCTTCTTCTAGTGGCCAATTCTTGTCCAGTTGGTGACCAATTGCAATTTATTTTCGTCCACAATATACAAAGTACAAATCCACATGCATTACATTTAGTACAATATCATTCATGTAGAAGTAAGGCCTCGAATTGTTTTGGTAGAATTAATACATTTGATAGAACAGAAACATATAGAATTTCTCATATTTATGAAAACTACTTTATCTTGGCAGATGCAGTGACATGTATGGCAATTTCGACGAGAAAAAACACCATTGTTTGAAGCAATATGAATCTCAAGACCGTTGACTTGGTCTTACGGCCAGGTTTCATATAAGGATGTTTACCTAAGATGCAATCAGCATGTACCGTGGTGCAACATTTGGTGCAAGTGTATACAAAATGGTAATACCCTTTTACCCTATTGAATTGTATTTCTTCTTCGCATATCTCACACCAGTAGACTCCCATGAAAACACCATATAGGGTGAGTATATGTGTGTCATACTTATATCTTGCAAATCCAGGTAGAGTTGCGCATTTGAGATCAAAGACGAATGTGCCATAGCCACCATGTGTCATTGTTGTCATTGTCCTTGATTTGTTTTTGCAAGCAAGACATTCAAGTGGCCGTCGTTCATCACTAACATGTATCAGAAAAAAAAGATCTGGAGAAGCTGGATGTTTGAATGGCTCGACAAAAGAAGCACATTTTACATCTGTTCTAAACCCACATTCCTTTTGGCAACATTGATACATGAAACCACATGATCCTTGGTTACAAGTAGAGCATGTGAAGAATCCTTCCTTGGTGTCTAGGGTTAGTGGATGACGATGTAACGAGTGCTCCATCTTTCGAGGAAGACGAGCACATCTGTCATGGAGAGGATATTCGCATTGCTTGCAACCCCAAAAATTACCAAAATCAATTGGAAGGATACATGCTTCGCATAACTTACCACTTTCCTTTTCAAAGTTGGCATTGAGTCTCGTTAGGTCATGATCATGGCTAAAATGACGTATGTCTCCGGATCCTATCTCTACCAACGACGCGAGA